TACATTAAAGTACAAGGTACATAAATAAATCTAAAATCGGAAACCCAAAATTTGGTCAAATCGAGGCAGTAAAATTCATGTGAATCAATATTCGGTGCTATATATTCAGGCACACCCCCAAGTGTAAAGATTCAGATTTTTTCCATAATACGAAACATTTTGTATGAAGTTAAAACAAAATTAGACTGTGAATGGTAGAAGTATCTGTAGACGCATTCATAAAAATATTTTTTATTCAAAGTTAAAGTGATAATTTACATTTTTTAAATACTTGCTACTTAGCCAAATATAAAGGACGACAGGTCCAAAGTTGCTATTAATGAGCCAATTATTTTGATATGTTTGTTTCCATATTAGCGTGGGTATAAAGTTGGGTTAGGTAGTTCTGCAATCAACCAATTATTTATTTTTATTTATACTATTTTGGTGATACCAGTTTCAGGGTTCATCCCCTTCCTCAGCTACCTCGTCAGTAAACCTATAACACTTTAAAAAAGTCAATATTTGGTTAAATTTTTAGACTTATTAGTGTTAATATTATCAGGAATTTGATCTGTCGTTTTTTGAGCCTAAAATACTTGATTGTTGACCATTATTCTTGCTATACCACACGAAAATAGTATAAATAAAAATAAATAATTGGCAGAGTGTTGAACTATCTAACCTAAAATTATTTTCATCTTTTGTAGACTTTGGCCTCACAGACTCGTAGAAAACAACTTTCAAACTTACAACCCAAGCTGAAATTAATTTAACAGCAGTTATTTTAATAACAAATAAGAGAAATAAACCTACGAGAAAAAGTCATAATTGTATTATTAATTGTGAAGTAACTATTAAAAAAAATCTAAAGATTGTGATGCCAAAAGTTACTTTAAATCAAATAATGGCTTTCATCCATAGAAACTTTTGGCCTCATAATTACATGACGAATAACTTTCGGACTCATGTGCTAACATACATTAAAGTACAAGGTACATGAATAAATCTAGAATCGGAAACCCAAAATTTGGTCAAATCGAGGTAGTAAAATTCATGTGAATCAATATTCGATGCTATATATTCAGGCACACCCCCAAGAGTAAATATTCAGATTTTTTCCATAATACGAAACATTTTGTATGAAGTTAAGACAAAATTAGACTGTGAATGGTAGAAGAATCTGTAGACGCATTCATAAAAATATTTTTTTATTTAAAGTTAAAGTGATAATTTAAATTTTTTAAGTACTTGCTACTTAGACAAATATAAAATACGAGAGTTCGAAAGTTGCTATAAATGAGCTAATTATTTTGATATGTGTGTTTCCATATTAGCGTGGGTATAAAGTTGGGTTATGTAGTTCTGCAATCAACCAATTATTTATTTTTATTTATACTATTTTGGTGATAGCAGTTTCAGGGTTCATCCCCTTTCTCAGCCACCTCGTCAGTAAACTTATAACACTTTAAAAAAGTCAATATTTGGTTAGATTTTTAGACTTATTAGTGTTAATATTATCTGGAAAATGATGTGCCGTTTTTTGATCCTAAAATACTTGATTTTTGACCATTATTCTTGCTATACCACACGAAAATAGTATAAATAAAAATAAATAATTGGCTGAATGTTGAACTATCTAACCTAAAATTATTTTCATCTTTTGTAGACTTTGGCCTCACAGAATCGTAGAGAACAACTTTCAAACTTACAACCCAAGCTAAAATTAACTTAATAGCAGTTATTTTAATGACAAATAAGAGAAATAAACCTACAAGAAAAAGTCATAATTGTGTTATTAATTGTGAAGTAACTATTTAAAAAAATCTAATGATTGTGATGCCAAAAGTTACTTTAAATCAAATAATGGCATTCATCCATAGAAACTTTTGGCCTCATAATTACATGACGAATAACTTTCGGACTCATGTGCTAACATACAGTAAAGTACAAGGTACATGAATAAATCTAAAATCGGAGACCCAAAATTTGGACAAATCGAGGCAGTAAAATTCATGTGAATCAATATTCGGTGCTATATAATCAGGCACACCCCCAAGTGTAAAGATTCAGATTTTTTCAAAAATACGAAACATTTTGTATGAAGTTAAGACAAAATTAGACTGTGAATGGTAGAAGTATCTGTAGACTCATTCACAAAAATATTTTTTTATTCAAAGTTAAAGTGATAATTTAAATTTTTTAAGTAGTATAAATAAAAACAAATAATTGGCTGAATGTTTAACCATCTAACCTAAAATTACTTTCTTCTTTTGTAGACTTTGGCCTCACAGAATCGTAGAAAACAACTTTCAAACTTACAACCCAAGCTAAAATTAACTTAATAGCAGTTATTTTAATAACAGATAAGAGAAATAAACCTAAAAGAGAAAGTCATAATTGTGTTATTAATTGTGAAGTAACTATTAAAAAAATCTAAAGATTGTGATGCCAAAAGTTACTTTAAATCAAATAATGGCTTTCATCCATAGAAACTTTTGGCCTCATAATTTCGGACTCATGTGCTAACATATCTTAAAGTACTAGGAACATGATTAAATCTAAAATCGGAAACCCAAAATTTGGTCAAATCGAGGCAGTAAAATTCATGTGAGGCAATATTCGGTGCTATATATTCAGGCACACCCCCAAGTGTAAAGATTCAGATTTTTTCCATAAGACGAAACATTTTCTATGAGGTTAAGACAAATATTGGTGGATTGAGAAATAAATCTAAGAAATAAATTCATAATGATGTTGTTAAGTGTAAAATACCTATGAAAAAAGATCTAAAGTCTGTGATGCCAAAAGTTACTTTAAGTCAAATAATAGTTTTCATCCATAGCAACATTTAGCCTCATAATTGCATGTTAGGTAACTTTCGGACTCGTGCGCTTCGTATATGTGAAAACAGGTAATTAACCCATCATTCCGGGCACAATTTTGTTTTTGGAACGAAGTACTAGATTAATAAATTTAAAATTGGAAACCCGAAATTTCAACACAAGCCGGTGAAATTCATGAGGTGTATTATTTCACGATATGGATTCGTAAAATTTAAGGCACAATCTCAACATTCAAATTGTAATTGATAGACTCCGGCTTTATCTAGTTAAGTAATTTTATCTTTGTTGTTCAGTAACTGATTTCTGGTTGAATTAATTTTTATAAATGAAATATTAACATTTTTATTCACTCTATTTAGTATGTTTTTAATTTTGTAAGATAATGTTTCAATAAAATCCAGAAAATAATATCTACCTATGTCTTCCTTAGTATCATGGTCCGTTTTGAACAACGAGCAACATTGTTTTTTTTTTTAATTTTGTATCTTATTTTGTCAATTAGATTGTGGATTAATTTTACTTTAAAGTCATTATTTATTGCAATTTGTTTTATGGACTGAAGTTCTTTATTATAGTTTTCATGGTTTAGATTAGAATTGAACAATATTTCAATTAAAGATGCAAAAGTTGATATTTTATGAATCCATAGGTGGTTGGAAGAATTGCAAATAATGTTGTCTGTGTATGTTTTATTGGCCCAATATCTTACAAAATTAAAAACATTCTTGGAGAAATATTAAACACGAGAGGCCAAAAGTTGCTATAAACGAAGTCATTCTTTTCATCTTTAGTACACTTTGACCCCATATGGATTCATACAAAACAACTTTCAGGCTCACAGTCCAAGGGGACATTAAATTAGTAACCCTTGTTTTAAGAATACCAAATCGTCTTTCAAATATCGGCGGATTGAGAAATTAATAAATCAAAGGGACAGATTTATAATTATGTTGTTTACTGTGGAGTATCTACGAAAAAAATCCAAAGACTGTGATTCCAAAAGTTAATTTAAATCAAATAATAGTTTTTATCCATAGCAACATTTGGGTTCATAATTACTGCTCCATTAAAATATTAAACTGGTTTTTCAAATTTCGCTTGTTTCTTGGATAAAATAATATAAAATACGAGAGGCCAAAAATTGCTACAAATGTAATTAATGATTATAAAAGAGTATAAGTAATTATTTTCATCTTTAGTACACTTTTGTCACACAAATTCATACAAAACAACTTTCAGGTTCACAACTCAAGCTAAAGTTAAATTAATTGTCGTTGTTTTAAGATTATCAAATTGTGATTCAAATACCGGAAGAAAGAAAAACAAATCTAAGAAACAATTTCATGGTGATACTATTAACTGTAAAGTACCCATGAAAAAAATCTAAAGAATGCGATATCAAAAGTTACTTTATATCAAATAATACATTTCATGCATAGTAACATTTGATCTTATAATTACATGTTTCGGAATAATGAGCTTCATATCTATCATTTCAAGTACAATTTTTGTTTTTGGAAATGAAATTCCAAGTGATTAGAAAATAAAACAGAAGCTCAAAAATGTATGGAAACGATGCATGACGTTCCAAGATATTAATTCCTAAAATTTAAAGCACACCCTTAAGCAAATATCCAGATTGGCTCCATAAGTAGAAAAATAATTTAAGAGATTAACAAAAACTTGTACTGCTAATTGTAGAAGTGCCTGTACACACAACCATAAAAGTAAATTTCTTACTCCAACTTAAACTGGTATTTTAAAATTGACATGTACGCCTTTCTTGGAGAAATATAAAAAGAGAGGTTAAAAGCTGCTAAAAAATAGTAATGTTTCTTTTTTCGAAATCGCGCAGTAATGTGCTTTTTCTATGTTCAAAAATCGGCACAGAAATTAAATGCGGTGTTGTCATATTAGTATTATCTACCTCCACAATTACATTTTACAAGGTTATAAATTGTTTTTCGGTTTAGCAGTAATTCTATACTCTTTGATAACCCTTTTTATTAGTTATTAGAAACACATCCGGTTTATTAATTTTATAAATATAATTTATTAACTAAATTTGCGCGTAATCTCGCAACGTCGCAACCTTGCATGGCAACAGCGGATTTCTTGAAGTGCAGCGACATTCTATGGCAGCGAACAATGTGTATCCACATAACCTGCAATAAGTTTTTGTTCGGTGCAGAAACAACCATGGAAAACATTATATGGAGAATATCTCATTTTGCATACGAGTATTTCGCTGAAAAAGAAAATTCTGTGAAATCAACATTTTGGGCTACATAGTCGTTGTTAAAGTCAACTCTGTTAATATAAAACAGCATAGATATAATCTAAGTACACCAAGTTCTCAAGCAAAAAATATAGGTTATGTTTCCCAGAAATCAAATATATTTACAAGAGAAAACTTACGAAAATTTTTAACAGAGGCCCGTGATTAATGTACCTAATGTCAAAGGTAATCTCAAAGAAGGTCAATCACATTGTCTATAAAACATAATGTTTTAGGTATATTTTTTATTCGAAGTTGTAGGAGTATGCGGAAAGGAAGAATTTGAACAATTTTCTTGTATCTACATAACCTATAATAAGCTTTTATTATTATTACAGAAGAGATTATTAGCTTACATGCCCATTTTAAATGAAAGTATGAAGCATACCTCTTATTTTTCGGCACTTTTAATATTTTTGCTTGCAGAAAGATCTGCAGCAATTGCAAAATAGAGATGGATAGCAATAATAACAAGCAGTTTACATGCATTCGACCGAACTTGCAAAAACTGGCAGATAATATATCAAATTTATTACCTAAAAACTCAGCCACAGTTTATGAAAAACGGTATGAATTTTTTTTTTTTGCGCAGAAACAACCATGCAAAATATATGGAGAACACCTCATTGCATACGAGTATTTCGCTGAAAAAGCAAATTCTGTGAAATCTTTAACACTTTGGGCTGCATATTCGTAGTTAAAGTCAACTCTGTTAATAAAAAACAGCATAGATATATCTAAGTACACCAAGTTTTCAAGCAAAAAATATAGGTTACATTGCCAAGAAATCAAATATATTTACAAGAGAAGACTTACCAAAATTTTTAACAGAAGCCCGTGATTAAATGTACACGATGTTAAAGGTGATCTCAAACAAGGTCAATCACATTGTCTATAAATCATTATGTTTTAGGTTTATTTTTTATTAGAAGTTGTAGGAGCATGTGGAATGGATAAATTGAAAAATAATGACGGCATTCAAGACAAAAACGATACGCTAATAATTAAAATTCCAACGTCTAAAACTGGCAAAGCACGAGAATTTACAAATATGTGTAAAAATATTTATCCAATTGAAATATAGTAAAAATACCTAATTTTAAGACCGCACCATACACCAGACAAATCATTATTTATACATTACATTTGGATAGTGAATGCAGCAGCTGCTGCATTGTACAAATATACCTGCAAACACACTGTAACAAATTATGCAGACACCTCTTTTGACTAAAAGATATATATTTAACTTTATCCATACGTTGTCAACTTTGTTAATAATTGCAATCTCTAACTTCATAAGAAATATGAATAATCTACTTTGGTGTTTTATAGTAGTATTAAATGTTCATAGAATATAATTGCACTTACTACGAAGTAAGCTTTCCTAGTTTTAAGTTGTTTTCTTTTCTCTTTGATTATCTTAATTTCTTCAGCCTCTATGTGGCTGTTTTAATTCCAAAAAATTGTTTCTGAATAAACTGATTCATACCACTTTTTCTTTCTTTTACTCGAAAACAGTTTAAACTATAACTCCAAATATTTACCTACTTTACAACGTGTCAAGCATTCGGTTGTTGTAAATGATGCAACCATAAATACAAATTTGAACACTGATATGACAGGTTTGAGGCTAGGATGTGGTTTTCATATACTCCCATTACTTGTTGCCTAAATCTGGCGCGAGGCCAAAAGTTATTATTGACGTATATATATATATATGTATATAATCCCGGAACTTTGGCACGGTCGGCACACTATGGCAACACTGTAGTAGATCAAACACATAAATTAGTCAGTTTCGCACATAAGGAAAATACGGCATAGTTCAGCCCCTCGACGATAGATGGCCAAACAAAATTTAATTAGATTTAAAAGGTACTTTGGCATTTATATTTAAAATGTTATAATTAATAAAGTTTGCGGTACGTTTCAACAAAATTGTAAATCCAAAAAACAAAAGGATTTGTGTTACGTATAAGAATATTCTAAGTACGTCACCCTTAGAATTACTTTTTTAAAAAATAAAACATTTCGACACAATTGTTTGTTTCTGGAAATTCAAAGTGGTTTTAGATGTTCCAATAGCCCAAGTCAAGCGGAAATTGAAACCTTTAACAAATAGAAAATACTAGGGAAGTAAAGGCATTATTAGTTCTCTTTATTTCGCATTTTGCTAACAGTAACCGGGACTAAAGTGTGTGCCAAACTACCTGTTGTATGCGTTCGGTACGCATTTAACAGGGAGTTTCGCATGACATTTATTTTCCCCCAAAATTTTAAATAAAAAAGGAAGTGATTTTTAAGAACAAAACACTCTGTGTTACTCATAAGAATATTCTAAGCACGCTGATTATACTATATTTGCTTAAAAAACTAGGAATTTCTATGGGATAGATTGTATCTAGGTGTGCTAATGGTTTTCGATGTTCCAATAGCCCAATTCAAGCGGGAATTGATATTACCTACAAGATATTCCTAATATTAATACAAAATTTGACAACAATCGGTGGCTCGTAGATTATCTGTATCATAATTCATAAAAATGCGGGACCGCAGACAGACGGCCAGACAGACAGAAACGGGACACCTTCGTGCTGTAGGTGTCACGGAAGGTAGAGAAAACGTAAAAGTTGAGAAGACCGCTTTTTTTAGATTTACAGTTTTGTGGAAAAATACAAATCATGCGAAACTGCCTGTTAAATACGTACCATATGCATGCAACAGGCATTTTGGCACAAACTTATTTACCTGACAGTGTCAGCAAAATACGAAAATTATGACAATTAATGACGTTTTTAGTTTCCAAGTATGTCACTCTTGCTGAAATTTTAAATTTTCGCTTGAATTGGACCAAAACACCATTAAAAACCTCTAATTAGTTTGTCCAATAAATACGTAAATCCCTGGCAACTTAAGCAAAATGCGAAAGTGGTGAAACTTAATTTTGTTTTTACTTCCCTAATCACTTCTGTTTGCTAAAGATGTCAATTTCCGACTGAGTGGGTCTGTTAGGACATCAGCACCCACTTAACATGTCCAGACACAATTCATAAAGTAGAAATATTCTTTTTTTTTTTAAACACACACCGCAGACTACTTACTACTTTAACTTGCTCAGAATATTTTTACGCGTAATATGAAGCCTTTTGTTGTTAAAAATCCCTTTTTTTGATGATGAAATATTATAGGAAAAAAAAAATCATGCGAAACTGTCTGTTAAATGCGTACCGTATGCATGCAACAGGTAGTTTGGCACCAAAGATACCTGTCAAGGTCATCAAAATACGAAAATTATTACAATTAATTACACCCTTGCTTCCCTAGTATCTCCTGTTTGTTTAAGATGTAAATTGCAGTTTATATTAGGCTTTTGAAACATTAATAAACCGATTATTACGTTCAGATACACTATTTACTGCAGAAGTTGCTTGTTTTCGAAAAAATTAAGTAAGTACTGCATTATGCGTACTGTACGCAAGCAGCAACAGGTTGACACACACGTTAAAATTTATCAAAATGTCATAGTCAGCAAAATGAGAAAATTATGACAATTAATGACGTTTTTAATTTCTAAGTCTATCACTTTTGCTGAAATTTTAAATTTTCGCTTGAATTGGACTTTTACACCATTAAAAACCTCTAATTAGTTTGTCCAATAAATACGTAATTCCCTGGAAACTTAAGCAAAATGCGAAAGTAGTGAAACTTAAGTTTGTTTTTATTTCCTAACCACTTCTGTTTGCCAAAGATGTCAATTTCCGACTGAGTATGTCTCTTCGGACATCAGCATCCATATAACATGTCCAGACACAATTCATAATGCAGAACTATATATTTTTTTAATAACAAAACATATACTGCATAATACTTACACTTAGTTTGCTCAGAATATTCTTACGCGTAATATAAAGTCTTTTGTTGTTAAAATCCCTTTTTTTAACGATGAAATATTTTAGGAAAAAATAAAAATCATGCGAAACTGCCTGTTAAATGCGTACCGTATGCATGCAACAGGCAGTTTGGCACCAAAGATACCTGTCAAGGTCGGTCATCAAAATACGAAAATTATTACAATCAATTACACCCTTACTCCCCTAGTATCTCCTGTTTGCTTAAGATGTAAATTGCAGTCTGTATTAGGCTTTTGAAACATTAATAAACCGATTATTACGTTCAGATACATTATTTACTGCAGAAGAGTTGCTTGTTTTCGAAAAAATTAAGTATGTACTGCATAATGCGTACTGTACGCAAGCGGCAACAGTTTGACACACGTTAAAATTTATAAAAATGTCATAGTCAGCAAAATGAGAAAATTATGACGATTAATGACGTTTTTACTGTCCTCATACATCACTTTTGTTGAAATTTTAAGTTTTCGCTTGAATTGGACCATGACACCATTAAAAACCTCTAATTAGTTTGTCCAATAAATACGTAAATCCATGGCAACTTAAGCTAAATGCGAAAGTAGTGAAACTTAATTTTGTTTTTACTTCCCTAACCGCTTCTGTTTGCTAAAGATGTTAATTTCCGTCTGAGTTGGTCTGTTAGAACATCAGCAGCCACTTAACATGTCCAAATACAATTTATAATGTAATTTTTTTTTTATATAAAAAAAACAGGTATACTGTAGTTATAATACTTACACTTACCTTGCTCAGAATATTCTTACGCGTAATATAAAGTATTTTGTTGTTAAACATATTTTTTTAATGATTAAATATTTTAGAAAAAAATAAAAATCATGCCAAACTGCCTGTTAATTGCGTACCGTACACATGCACCAGGCAGTTTGGCACACAAGAAAATAGCCGTCAAAGTCATCAAAATACGAAAATTATGACAATTAATTACGCCCTTACCTCCCTAGCATCTCTTGTTTGTTTAAGATATCAATTCCAACTTGCATTAGGCTGTTGAAACATTGATAAACTGATTACCATATCCAGATACAGCCTTTACTGCAGAAGTTGCTTCTTTTCGAAAAAGTTAAGTAAGTACTGCATAGTGCGTACCGTACGCAAGCAGCAACAATTTGACGTACACGTTAAAACCTGTCAAAATGTCAATGTCCACAAAATGCGAAAATAATGACAATTAATGACGTTTTTACTTTCCTAGTACATCATTTTTGTTGAAATTTTAAATTTTCGCTTGAATTGGACCGTTGCACCATTAAAAACCACTAATTAGTCTGTCCAATAAATACGTAAATCCCTGGCAACTTAAGCAAAATGCGGAAGTAGTGAAACTTAATTATGTTTTTACTTTCCTAATCACTTTTGCTAAAGATGTCAATTTCCGACCGAGTTGGTCTGTTAGGACATTAGCACCCACTTGACATGTCCAGACACAATTCATAGTGTAGAAATATATTTTTTTTAATAATAAAATATATACTGCAAAATACTTACACTTAACTTGCTCAGTACATTCTTACGCGTAATATAAAGTCTTTTGTTGTTAAAAATCACTTTTTTGATGGTTAAATATTTTAGGAAAATATAAGAATTATTCGAAACTGCCTGTTAAATGCGTACCGTACGCATGAAACAGGCAGTTTGACACACAAGAAAATACCTGTCAGTCACCAAAATACGAAAATTTAAACAGTTAATAATGCCTTTGGTTCCCAGTAGTAGAATTGTTTGTTAAAAATTTGAATTACTGCTTGAATTGGTCTGTTGAAATATTAAAAACCACTTATCTTGCCCAGATGCAATCTATACTGCAGACATTCCATATTGTTGATAAATAAAGCAAATACCTAATACTAATACTAAGTGTAACATGCTCAGAATGTTCGTACGCTAACACCAAAACTTTTATTGTTGAAAACCAATTCTTTTTACTCCCCGAGTGTAACGGAAGGAGGTATTGTAATCGAGTCCTTCAGCCGACTCTCTACTTTTACATTTTGTCGATTTTTAGTGGCCCCTAGAACACGAAGATATAGGTTTTTGTTTACATTACAATCGCCGAAAGTTCCGAGTAGCCGAAGAACTGCATGTAAGCGAATTATGCTACTCGGTTTTGGCGTAAGGTATGTACATAATTTTTTGTACTGCTCTTCTACATAATTAATTTTTTTTATAAATAAAAATTTTACTAATATTTCCAGTCCAATGTTACTACTTACGTTTGCATTAGCCTTGTCAGTGGTATATTAGGGAAGTAAAAACATCATAAATTGTCATAATTTTCGACTTTTGCTGACACTGACAGGTATATATGTGTGTGCCAAAATGCTTGTTACCTGCGTACGGTACGCATTTAACAGGCAGTTTCGAATGATTTTAATTTTTCCACAACATTGTAAATCCAAAAAACGTGGTTTCCAACAATAAAAGTCCTTGTGTTAAGCATAATATTATTCTGGGCACATTACACTGCAGCATTACTTTTTTTTTTCTGAAACAAACCATTTTTGCAGTATAGATTGTATCTGGTCATGCTAAGAATGTTTAATCTATCAGCAGCCCAATTCA